TTTTTTTAATTTGTGTCATTTTTTTAATTTGTGTCATTTTTTTAAATTTGTCACTTTTTTTAAATTTTGACACTTTTTTAAATTTTAATCACTCTTTTAAATTTTAGTCGCTTTTTTTTTTAGTATTTGTCACTTTTTTGAATTTTTGTCTCTTTTTTTTAGTGTTTATCACTTTTTTATCAATTGCATTCTTGAAATTTCTATTACTTTTTTTATTGACAAACACCACTTTTTAATAAAAGTGACACTGTATGTCTTTTTTAATAAAAATGTGACACTAAACTTTCAAAAGTGACATTGTCACTTTTTTACATTTTGTCAATTTTTTTGAGCTTTCATCATTTTTAAAATTTTTGTCACTTATTTAATAAGATAAAAAGTGATATGATATATTATATTTTCTTAACATAATCACATGTGGATTGTTTTGGACATGCAAATTATGTTAAGAACCGTCACTACGCTCATGTGAATTGTTCTGAATATGTTGATTATGTTATGAATATAATACTGGTGCTACACAAATGGAAGATGAGTTTGTGTCTGTCATTTTTTTGAGTTTGTGTCACTTTTTAAGTGTTTGTATCACTTTTAAAAAAAAGTGACAATTTTTTTTAAAAAAATGACATGTGTCATTTTCTCATTTCACACAGTGTTTTTTTCCAAAAAACTTTTTATATGATTTTTCAAAAGATTTCTAATTTTAAAGGTATTTTTATAAGTTGACCATTTTTATATATGCGGGAGGCAATGTTGGGTTGATTTCCTCTTCACATTTTATATGGGCTGGAGCAATGCTAGGCTACAGACCAGCACTGCCTCCCAACATCTCATAACGACTACTATATATGACCTTTTTTGATTTCTATTTTTTTGAAAAAAAAAATATATTTTTAAACAATATTTTAACATCATTTCAACTACATATTCTTCAATAAAAGAATATTACACACAAATTTAAAATTTTTTCTTATTTTTTAACCACATATTTACTATCAATACACTATTTAAAAATACATTCTTATAAAAAAAAAAAAAAGGGCTCAAAACAAGGGCTATATATATAATTATATTCATTCAATAACTATTTAAAATTTGTTAGTAACTTTTTGATAAATTGAACAATTTCCGATGCTACTTTATATTTATAAATCTACAGTAACATCAAAATAAATACTCGTCCTGTTTTGGTTAAAAAGCAAGAGACTTGCTCAATAACATAAAGAAAAGTCTCGCATTTGTTGTACTGATGAATGATGCACTTTACCGGGCATTTTTCTGTGTTTTGGTTCCAAGAAAATTGGGTTAAATTATTGGATGAATACAATCCAGCGAGCTTGCACTCCAGGTGTTTGTGGAAACGTGTGACCCACATGCTAATATTTGTGATGGCTTGGGGTGAGGATCGATTTATCTCTTATCTATAACTATAACTATTGATTCAATAATAATGCGTGCATTTAAATTTAGTTTATTTTGTATGGATTGCTGACTGCTAATTTTTAAATTTGTTAGAGACTATAAGTAGTGAAGAAAATCAGAGACCCTAAACCCACCATTAATGTTACATTTATTTATTTATTTATGTTTTGAAGTGAACTTACATTGAGTTTCACTTAATCTCAAATTCAGGTTTTGTTCAAGCTCTTGTTTGTGCCTGTTTTCTGTTAGTTACATGATCAATTTCGAAATAGATTGTAAGCTAAAGCCGAGAACTCTGAAAGTGTAAGCCTGGAAGGTGGTGTCTTAAAGTCTACTTAATCAACATTTGCTTCTAATTTCTCAAGATACGTATAAGGCTTCGAAATTGATTCCACAATAGCGAACGGTACAAAATCACAATATGGAGCTAGGAAGTATTTACATGAACAAATTAAATAAAATAGTACCTAGATAATAAAAATTAATATACACTCATCTTGCTTCCAGCTGGGTAATGGTTATTTCATTGGATGAACAACTATTTATACTTTTACCTATGGATACATCTCTTCCTGCGAAAAAACCAGGCTGATTTGCCTGAGGCAACGCAGCATCATTTCCCAACATTGCAACCACTGAAGCTATGCTTGGCCTATCATCTGGACATTGTTGCACACACAAAAGACCCACATGGATTAATCGTAGAACTTCAAATAGATTAGCTGTCTCACGTAGATAAGCATCAACTAGTTCCAATGACCTTTCTTCTTTATAAAGTGTCCATGCCTGTATAAACATAACCACATTAATAGATCTTTTAGTCAAGTTAGTATAAAGAAAATAAACATAGGCATCTCCAAGACAATAATTACATGTCCAAGAAGGTTGAGGTGCTGATCTCCATGGGAAAATCCACTATTTCTCTTGCTAATCACAATTTCCAGAACTAGAACTCCAAAACTAAATACATCTGATTTTTGTGAGAACCGTCCATGCACTGCGTATTCTGGTGCCATGTAACCACTGCATGGAAGTATTTGTCAGATTATAATGTTAAGAACAATGGAAGTATATTAGCAAGATATTGTGCCGTTGAGATTCTTACTATGTTCCAACTACTTTGCTTGTCTTATCTTCGGTTTCATTCCCTCCAAAACTTCTAGCAATGCCAAAGTCAGATATTTTAGGATTCATGTCAGTATCTAGCAATATGTTGCTCGCTTTGAGGTCTCTATGAATAATTCTCATTCGGGAATCTTGATGAATATACAATAATCCCCTAGCCACTCCATTAACAATTTGGAGGCGCTTAGGCCAATCAAGTAATGCACTTCTGGTTTGATCTGCCAAAATGTTGTGCTAGTTAATATACGACATCCAATTGTAGTTGGATGCCAAACTCTTGAAATTACTTCCAAAATCTATTATCAAATATTTACTCTGCAAAAAAAACTATATTGTAACACAAAATGTTGAATGGTGCAAAGGAACAATGCTTTCCTATATTTATGCAATCAACTAGGATTCAATTCTTAACTAGCATTAATCTTCGTTTCATTGCATGATTTTCTAAGTTATCCCTAACCATATGGCTCGAACAATGACTTAAACTAGTAGAAATTCTTTGTGGCTTTATATAGAAAGGTGGTTTTGAGCTTATTGTACTAGAATTAGAAATTTTACCAAATAAAATCAAGTCCAGGCTTTTGTTGGGCATGTATTCATAAATGAGCATCTTTTCTTCTCCTTCTATGCAGCATCCTAGAAGCTTCACAAGATTTCGATGCTGAAGTTTAGCGATACAAATAACTTCATTCTTGAATTCATCAAGTCCTTGCATGGAAGTTTTTGACAACCTTTTCACAGCAACATCTTGTCCATCTTCCAAAGTTCCCTAAGATCAGAATTTGTTCATTTGAGAAGGTATTTATTGAATGAACTTGAAGCAGCACTGAATTTTTTATCTATTACTCTCTTTTAGTATGTCTCATAGGCTAACCTTTATGTTATGTGAATTGAATTTGAAGACTTCATCCCTTGTGGAATATTTGAATATTCATACAGATATATGTGTGAATGATGCTCAGTGTGCAGAATTGTTTATCACCTTTTAAAAATTTTCTTACAGAATTTTGAGGAAGACCACTTTTTTCAGGTCTTCATTATTGTTGAATTGAACCTATGGAGCAAGTCTAATTTTCAGAAGACGCACAATATTGATCTTCAGCAAATGTTCTTTGTTTTAAGAAAAAAATATTACATTTCTTGCTGGGATTAATGTCTACTGCTTAAGGGTAATTCACCATTTTAAATCCTTATTTTGTGCACAAGTTTTTGCTCCAAGGCATTGCTGCTCAAGTAAAGTTCACTGGTCATGTAATTCTTCTAAATATGTGGATTTTATATAAGTATCTAAAGGTCTAATTTCCTCGAAGTACTGTATTCACTTTTCACCTTATAAACAGGCCCGTATCCACCTTGTCCAAGCTTCTTGTTGACGGAAAAGTTATTGGTGGCTTTCAAAATTGTAGATGCGCGGAACATTGGCAGCTCATAGTCTTTGTTATGAGCTTCAGTACCACTTCCTGAAACATGAATAATATAAGCATGTAATTTAGCAGATAGAAGTTGAAAAGTGAGAGTATTCTAGACCTATTGTTAGTTAATCTTTCACCATAAAATGGCACAAATTTACTCACCTTCTGTTCTCCATTTTGTGCAATTTTTCTTCCTTCTATGATAATATATTATTCACCCTTTAAACAATTCAAGGGTGTCCTTCGGTTGCAACCATTCGTCCAATCTGACCTACTCCAACCTTCTGGATCTTTTGGCTCAAATTTATCAAGACATACACATGCAGGAGTATTTGCAATATTGCAACTACCATAAGCACCACACAATTTATAAGTATCACAATTATCTGCTGGAAAATTGACATAAGGGATCCAGTCATGGATCCGATCGACCCATGTCCAACGTTGTACAGTACCAGCCTGAGTCAGGATAATCCTTGAAATAATTGAATTGTCAATGGCCTCTAGCCTATGGTATGCCTTGTCCTTTTTCATGAAAAATACATATCTGAAATTCATATCCTGCGCTGAGTTTGTTTGCCCGCTAAAGGCAAGACCATTCCATGGCCCTATTCTATACAGAGTAGTTGTACCTCTTTTTATGACTTGCTGTGGATATCCAGTTGGATCCAACCAAAATGTGAAATCCCCTCTAGCTGGATCGTCATTGGTCTTCCATGATGACAGGTAGCTCTCTACTCCTGTTACAAAATTCCAACCAATACTCATGTCTGGTAGGGACGTATCACTTAGATAATCAAAACTCTGCCAAAGAAAATTATCTGGACGATCATCATTTGCTTCTCTAAGGACAAGATTTCCAGTGTCCAACAATTGTAAAACCGGTGTCCGAGCAACTCTTGATGTATTGGAAGACCATATGATGTTATTAGTGTCATTCAGAACGACCAAGATACCCGGCTCCATTACTTTCAAGATGCCTGATGAACTTCTTACTGGAATTTCCCTGTTGGCTACCCAAACTGCAGTGCTATTAGGTATCTTTTGGTACCAAATTCCCACATACCGATTATTGGAGTTACCAGGGCTGAAAAATCCCAGTTCAAATCTTCCCCCTGATGAAACCAGGGTGTCGCCATCTCTAAGAATCTGAGTTGTATTAATGATATCTATAGCTGTCGAAATCTTGAGGATGGATGGTAAAAATGATAGGAGAAGAAGAAACGGTACATGTTTAATTGGTTTCTTCATTGCCTTACTTTGTGTTACTGTCTTGGGCATTCAATACAACTAAAAGAATTTCAGATTTGTTCACTGATGGAAAATTGACAATAAATTGTTTACTTTATTGTATAATAATAATATAGAATGCTAGTCTGTAAAGTAAACTAGTTTGAAATTATTAGCTACACGAGTTTGAAATTTTTTATAATCTATTAGTTTATTCCTCTTTTTCAATCATCAGTATTTTTAACCAATACAAATATCAGCCTGGTCCAAGCACTTGAAAATATTTGGTTTGCATGCTATTATTTTATGGTACCATGTGTGATTTCTTTGGTTCTATTAAAAATTCGAATTTTTTTGTTAATATAAGGAATTATTCATTGGTTACTCTGATTGAGGAATTTGCCATTACAATTGCTGTAACAGATTGAAAATCTGAAGTTTGACAAAGTCCACTTTTTGTATTCAATTTGACTATTGTGAATCTGAATTGGAGTATTTCTTTTTGTTATTCATAGTCTTTCCTCGCGTAGAAGTTTCAACTTAAAAAAAAAAAAAAAAAAAAAAAAAAAAAAAAATAAATTTCCCCTATAAAAAAAAAAAAAAAAAAAAAAAAAAAAAAAAAAAAAAAAAAAAAAAAAAAAAAAAAAAAATT